GACTCTAAGCTGAGTGAACAAAACAGTATGTATCTTAAGCCACCTGAGGATTCAGCCTGTTTCAACATCCCACGATTATCCTTCACTAAGACACAAAACATGACACCTACGAGGACTAGGGTTTGCAAAGAGTTTGGATCCTTGATAAGTCAAACACACAGAAGTCTTTTCTTTTTACAACACAGAAGAAAACAGTCCTCGTTTAGAGAGAAACCAAGGTTTACATTATGCAAAGACATTTTCATTTTTTATTCTGAACCACCACTGTGAATCTCTGTCATGTTGCTTCTCCAGTAAACCACTTTGTGAATCAGTTCCCACCAGTCTCATCGTAGCTAAAAATATGACCAGCTAGCTACAAGCCTTACCATCACGGTGACTGCAAAATCCTTTAATATTTAATCACTTCCATAAATTACAGTATGCTGTAATTTTCTCCCAACTCTGTATTTTTACCAGACCTCAGCTAAAAAAAAAATAAAAAGACACTTTTTGAGGTCTTTTTCTCCCTAATAACCAGTACACATCCTCAGTTTCAGTTCAATTTAAGGGCAGAAAGTTACACTTCTGTGCTGCGATTGTGGGAAAAGTCCATGTGACTTGCTGGCCTGACCCCAAGGACTCCCATGCATCACCCAGCAGGAGGAACAAAGCACAGACTAGAGAGTCAAGAGAGAGAAAGGGGACTGTACAGCAGAGTGCAGATATCCTAGGAGATGGTCTCATTAAAATCAAGGTAATTAGACACGGATAGGAGAAGCATAAACAGCCAATTAATAAGCAGTTAATAAAGAGGTGTGAGCTGACCATAGTGTTCATTTATATATGACAAAATACACCCAAAGAGAGGAAGTGATTTTTTTCAAGGCCAGATAAAGACTTGAGGAATGGGGAAGGTCCTCAGTTCATGTATCTGTGCTCTATATTCAAAGGTCATATGACTTTTCTGACCATGGATCATGTCCTCACACCCCAACGCTTGCTTATATTTATTCCTCTAGAAACTTCAAGAACCCAAATTGCTATAATACCTGGGAACACAGGAATAAGACCCCCTGGAAATAAAAATGAGAAAAAACATGTCGTTTTCCCCACTGGTAGCACACCCCCCATGGTTTTCAGTTTACTGCTGCCTCTGTGCCAGCGCAGCACCAGCTAGGAGTGCTTTGTGCTGGAGCCACTCCCTGACATCGAGTGTCAATGAATTAAAAACATGCAATAAAGAAAACTATCCTCATTCATTACTGCTTTGATTATCTGTCTTCTTCTCATGTACCAACATACCTAGTGTACCGGGTTCTATTTTCCTTACAGTTTTAAGAGATCAGAGGTACAAACTTCTCCATCATTCAAAGGACGAGTTATCCATCCAACTGTCTAACGTAACAGTGCACGATGAAGGCGTCTATAAATGCTTCTACTACGGCAAGCCATTCAAAAGCAAGGAGGAGACTGTTAAGGTATTAGGTAAGTTCCTCCACCTGCTTTGCTCCACAAAGCCAGCTCCTCAACTCCAGACCTGCATTTTTGCCTGCAATCGTAGGGTGCTTAACACAAGATAATCCTGGTCTTAGCTCAGTGCTCCCAAACAATGCTGTGTGTGCAGCCATTCATAAAACTGAGTAGAAAGATGTCCTATGACTGATTCTAACTCTTCTTGCTGCAGCTGCTCCTTCTAATCCAGCACTGAAAGTATCCCAAGACACAGAAAGAAGTATTACACTGTCCTGCTATACTCAAGGATCTAAACCACAACCTCAGATTTCCTGGCTGTTGGACAACGGGATAGAGCTCCCTGGTAAGTGTTAAAGGACCATGGATTGATTACTAACAATTTCTTCTTATTTGCCTTGGGCACATTTAAAAATACTGAAGGGTGAAACACCTTCTGCGACACATCAGCTGAGACTAACACTCACCCTCCACTCATTTCATACAACTTGGCCCCTGCGGTGCAGGTTTGGGGAAACGTCAGCACTAAATCCCAGCGGTTGTGCAAGGGAGAGGGCTCATGTGCTTTGCTCACATTCAGTGCAGATGAACGACACTTGGCACCAAAATCTCTGAAAAGCCTGGAGTGAAACGCCACTGAAATAAAACGAAACCAAAACTCTGGAGGCACAATTTTCAAAGCCCAAGTATACGGTCAGTTAACCAATCCATTATAACCACTTTCACACTGTGAGCAGTAGGCAGATTTTTCCCCAGCTGTGCTGAGCAGCTCACGTACACACCAGCACCACCTCTCTGGTTCAGCTGTCCAGAGCCAGGCAGCTCGCTAGCAGAGGCAAGAAGAGAGCTCAGCAAACCCAGCCCGCAGCACCGCAAGAGGTCTGCACGCGTCTGGGGACACACGCGAGGAGGAACGGAACCACCACGTAGCTCAGTCTCACTTGTGCTGCTTTGAAGAGCCTGTTCTAATAATAACCACCTCATTAGCTGTAACTGTAGCACAGGGGAGAGGAAAAACGCACATCTGTATCAAAGTGTGAGGAAAATACCCGTAGATGCAGATGTGTTTACAAGCTCTTATTTGTATTTTGCATCATCAAGCGAGGTATTCTAAGCTTAGCCAGTAATCTCCCTCCCACATCCCCCAAGATGACTTTTTTTAACTAAGAGCACTAGAAAACAACAGAGAAGGCTGCTGGCCTGGCTATAGCTAGAAACCCAGACCCAAGAAAGAAATCCAGGTTGCCACATATACAGGCATTAATGCAACTGCATAAAGCCTCTGCTCAAAGGAGCTGCACTCAGGGGAAGCAGCAGAGCTGGTAAGCAAGCCACATGAGAGCCAGGGCAGAGAGCTCTCGGCCATTGCAGGGGGAGAGGTGCTCTGGAGCCCTGCACGGGTCTTGGAAAAGCAGGTAGCAAAATCCTGCATGTGTTTGGGAAGAGCTGGGCTGTGTGTGACTGTAAGGGCCTGGGGGAATACCAGCTGGAAAGACATGCAGCGCTCAGGGAAGCAATATGTCACCTCTAAGTTTTTATGTATACTTTTCCTAGTGTTCTTCTAAAAACAGAGGTTTCTTTAAACTTGGAACAACTTCAGTTCTGCCCTGATAAAGTACATTTCTTGTAACCACACAACTCACATACTAAGTAGCTCCCACAACACACAAAGCCAACCATACACTTCTTTACTTATTTTAACAAAAACCCGTGCTTACCTTAATCTCCTCCTCGCCTTTGTAGCACCAACCCAGTCAGCCATCAGACCAAGCCATCCCAGTGAGAACTACCCAGCCTGCCACCTCCCACCCCACTGGCACCTGGGAACGCAATTAAGCACCACAATTAAGCACCACAGGGCCTGTGCCGTATCTGCCTGGCTGGTTTCACCTGTGGCTGGTTTTCAGACGAAGGAACATTTGCCTACAGAGGTGCTGATTTCACCATGCGGCCTGCTTGTGGCAAAGAGGAATTAAAATGTGAAAGGAAAAAAAATAACTGCCCTAATTCACTGTTTCTCCAATTTTCTGTATGTGCCTTTCCTTTTCTTTGAAGGTCACTGTCTTTGAGTAACATTCCTTTCTCCCTCTTCCATTCTCAGCTTTCGTCACTTGCTGCAAATATTTATACTAATCATAAAATAGATAATACATCTTAATTACTGGCAGCACCTCAGTTCCACCCGGGCTCAGCAGGGGCAAATCAGCTGTAATTACTGAGCTGTTGCTGACAAAGATTATTTCATTCCTAGCAAAAACACTTAGAAATCCTTTTGAGCTCTTATGTGACCCTGCTGGGGATGGAAAAGAGGGCTGAGAAATACTGGTCTATGTGATACGGCAAGTTATCTGCAAAGGCTAATTTAGAAACAAGGAATTTCTTTCATTTCAGAAATAAGGGTGTTACCAAGGGTAAGAGATGAAGAGAAAACACTAGTTGCTTCCAGAGAACCTCTACATTAGACACAGACAGTAGAGATTATTGTGCCAGCATGAGCACTTAAGGCAAACATCCGAAAAAAACTTCCTCTCCACCAGAGCTATTCAAACATGTCTTTTTGTGTGAAACACACCTTTATTTTCCATATGATATAAATGAGCAGAATTCAGTATTACCCAGAGGACTTGGAACTACATCAGACAAGTTACATAGCTCTCTCTAATTCATTACGGCAAGGCAATTAATCTTGGTGTTTAACTTCCCCTAGCAGCAAAAGGGGAAGAGTCAAGCCCACATTGTAGGGATGGTGGAGGACTTGCACAGGGTTTCGTAGTCCTATAAATGTTTATTTATTGCAAATGTAAATATTGCACATCAATAGTTATTGCACATATTTATCAATGTGCACAAATATTGCACAACCTCTTTTTATGTCTGTGGAACGAATCCACAGCTATTAAGACACAAATTCAACGCCCTTGGACATCACATAGCAGAATTAGAACTTTTCTAGCTCTCAGTGATGCTGCAAAACAGCAGGTCCTTGCCCCAAGGCTCCCCGCAGCAAAGCAATTCATGCTGTTCAGAAAGGACCAAAAGCGGGTGTGGGACATTTCACCATGGTCCTGCAAGGCGTTGTGGGGGAATTTCCCCACGTGAGTCATGAAACGGAGCAGAGGCTTTGGGTTAAGCGCAGGAGGTGCAGTGAGATCTGCACTCAAACAACTGCCAAGGAAGAAAACACAACCTTGCTGCCTTTGGGCTCCCACGTCATCCATTTACACAATGAACCACTGGTGCACGGCAGTCATGCACTGCTTGAGCACAGCAAAGTAATGCAGATGGCACCTGGAAGGTTTTTCATTAAATTGCTCTTGACTAGAAAGCACTTAAATGTTTTCTTCCGATGGGTGTACAGGTGACACTGAGCACAAGTTAGAAGCTGATGGGAAGAAATGGACCACAACCAGCACGCTGACAGTCCTCGCCTATGGGCCCAACTCAACAGCCAGCTGCATCGTTCGCCACCGAGCACTAAGAGAAGAGAAGCTGATGGCATCTTTCTGGTTTGAGGACCTCCCTAGGACAGGTACTGCAGGCTCTTTGAGCAGAGGCTATCCCATTTTACCACCCTGAACTGGCGAAAGCTACGCAGTCACACGTGCACCATAGTCGACTGCCCTATGTGTGGAACCTATTTTCGAATGAGAGGGCTACCTGGGGCAAAAGAAGAATTCCAAACTAAGATCTGGGGGCTCTATTCTGGTTCTTAACTACCTTAAAATTCATCAAATGTTAAGCCACAGCAGCCCAGGCAGGTCAATTCCCCAATGCTGCTGCTAGAATTCAGGTGATGTTTGTCTTGAAGCTGTAAAGATAATTCAAAGTTTATGTTCCCAAAAAGCTGTCAGCTCTGTGAGTTTCCCTTGTCTTCTGTGCATCAGACATATCCACCTGGAAAGCTAGCAGGGTGTAAAATGTTGTAAACTACCACCTAAGCTGCCTGTCTAATAATTCTTGGAGTAGAGTTTGCATCCTGCCCATCTACTCATCTTCAGGATAGATCTAATTATTCTTACCTTGTTCTTCCTTAGATTGCTTGATTCAACAACCGCTTATAAAGTGCTCTGAAAGTTCTCCTGTTGTTGGGTTTTTTTCAGTAACAAATACAAATCCTGTGCCAGAGGTGGACACACGTGTCTCCGAGAACGAGCAATCTACAGGTGGGCATTAACTGCTTGGCCTTTTCTTAATTAATGCACGGGCCAGGTAAACACAACATCTAGCACCAGTTGCCATCAGCACTGAGGGACATTTTGCACAGCCTTCAGAACAGCTTTGTTTTTTTCCCCAGTGACCACAGCGGAGTCAGATCTGAACGGCAGCACAGCCTCCGCTCCAGGCTACCCACAGCATACTGGTAATGGATTCACTTTCATTTTCTCTCCTCATTTCATAGCGTTACATATATTCAGAGGACAGGGAAGCTGAAGGTGGGAGGGTAGGACTGAAAGTCTAAGCACTGATCAGATAGAGCACCCAAACGGTCAGGAGCATGTAGCATACCAGAGCAGGTTTCATTTTTCATGGATCAGTTCAATGGCAAAGTGTCTCTTCTCATTTTTGTCTTGGGTTTGGGGTGTTTTCCTTTAGGATTGGAACAACCAACCACCTCTTCTGCAGTACCAGAGGATCCAGTAATTACCAGCTCAGCGTCGACACCAACCCAGCAAAACCTCCAACCCAATTTCACATCTGCTTGTAAGTTTGGTCTTAGTTACATGAATTTACCAAATCAGGACAGAAATGCTAGCAAGAACAGTGTCACATACAAACAAGTGTGTAACACAAAACACAGCATTTCTTGCTTGTGCGGGGAGCCCTCAGTTTTGCAGCCACGAAAGCAGACAAAGTCTCTCTATTAGATGCAGAAGAACATCAGCATTAGCAGCAGCAGCCAGACCAGTCACTATCGCAGCCTGCTGTGAGCCCAGGCTGGGGTTCCTCTGGACAGTTGCACTAGATGGCACTGCACAACAACAGTTCTCTGTGCAAACAGCAGGCTGCAGGTCACAGTTATGGAACTGAGGAATTGTTTCTGGCAGAAGAATGAAGAGCTCCACTGCCCAAATCGGTTGACCAAAACCCACCGAGGTGGGCAAAGGCACCTGCTTGGTGACTGGCCCTCCCGTGAAAAATCAATTGGCTGTTTTAGAAATACATGAACTCTTTGTTTATGTTCCCTTAAAAGTGCTATGTCAGTGATTACAAACGTCACAGAATGGCTACATCCTGATAAACAATTTGTACATATGTTGATAAACACACACTGAAAGCTTGACTCTTTTGACAGGACTTTCACTAGGTGTGCTTGCCTATCTCATAAGGAAGAAAATCTCTTACGAACGTAAAGTTTTAGTAGGCACAGCTCACCTTATCATTCTAGTTTTACAAATCAATGTTAATTATACAAGTATATGTTGTCTGTGTGGGTAAGAAAGCCAGAACTCACCTCTCTGTTTGCGCAGGGTCCGAAGTAACACCAACTGCAGCAGGAAAGGAAGAACTGGCCGGTTCCTCGAGTGATCGCGTCCCCAACGGTACGACCGTACATCATCAGACATGGCGTGGTGGTGGCAAAGGACAGAGATTCTCACACTGGGGGACTGCACCGCTGTGGGCTATGAGGACAGTAAAAGAGTAGTCAAAAATACAAATACCAAAAAAAGTACCTGCCTTAAGGCAAAGCTGATACCTGCCGATTCCCATTTTTGCATCAAGCAAAGCAAACTGGTGAACAGGGAAAGCCTCAAAATGAACAAAGAGTCAAAGCTCAGCTTTGTTTTAATTCGGCTGTAAATAGGAACCACTGAGTTCAAAAATGTGTAAGAGACTCTGAGGATTTTCTGTTCATAAAGCTTAGGCGGTCTTTAGATTAAAACAAAACACCGTGTCAAGGAAATGAGCACAGAGCTTTAAGTTCAGGGCTTCAGAAGTCCCTTTCTGAGGCAGTACCAGGTGCCTTGGACTTCAAAGCCGTTGGGAAAATATGGATTTCTTAAGCATCCCTTTGCCCTTCAGAGAAATACTGTTCTCTTTTCCATTCCTCCAGGGACTGCAACAGCATTTGGTGGCAACGTCACAGAAGAGGAACTTTCCAGGACAGAAGGCCCATCATCACCAAGTGAAAAAGTAACTGTGATTTCCATCGTCACCTTCGGTACGAAGCCATGAGTACTCTGCAATGACAGCCTACAAACACGCAACGAGCTTTCTTACACCAAGCTGGTTCTCCCTGACCACGTAATGGTAATTACGTGGGTAACGCTTGCACTCTTGGGGAGAGACCACAGAAATGCAACCATCTAGAAAAAAAGCTAAATTTTACTCTTTGTTGTGCCAGGGCATGAGTTTACCGATTTCAATCAGTTTTTCTTATTCATATAAGTATAAAAAATGTTACCTCATGTCCTAAAATTAAGTCAAATAAGGTGACTTCTACACTCCCACCGTGTTCATCTGGCCTGTTGCACGATCTATCGTTCTTGTCTTAATTACCAGAGATTCGCGGGAAGCTATTTAACAACACAAACATACATCTGCCTCTTTTACAGAGCAAGATCTGAAGTCTGAAGGCATCAAAAAGAGAGAGAGTAATCTCCTGCTGCCCATCTTGGTGGCTGCTCTGATTTTCGTGCTGCTCGTCATCGTCCTGCTTTTTATGAGGAAGCTGAAAAAAGCTCATGGAGTGTGGAAGAGAGGTGGGTGATGGCCCTGCCCGAGCAACTGCTGACGCTGCTTTATTCAGAGGGGCTGGACAGCTGAGGAGCCTGTTAGGTGGAGACAAAACACGGCTCCTCCAGCCACCGATTAAATGTCCTTCTCCCACAGACAGTGACTGCGACTTGTTGCAAACAACAGTTGAAGAGTCCCTGTAGCTGACAGCCTGGGGCCACCCCTCAGCTGACAGGAGGTGCCACAAAAGCCAAAGAAATGCTTGTCTTAAGCATCTCTCTTAGATGTTCGGGATGACTGCACCGCCGTTTTATAACTAGTCTCTCAGGATTTTTATGCTCAAGGCAGAGAGTGAGGAAGAGTCATGGCAAAATCTCATCATCTTAATTACATTTGTTTTCTGCACAGAGAATGATGTTTCAGAGCAGACACTGGAGAGTTATAAATCCAAATCTAATGAAGAAAGTCCAGGCCACGAGAAGAACGGACACGGTAAAAAGCTTTAACCACTATGAACTAGTTCCTGTTAGAGCATTGCTGTGACCACAGCCAGAGCAGACTGCAGTCAATCTTTCTACACAGAGATATGCGTAAATTGCATGTTTTGAAACTGAATATTCTAAGCCCAAACCTTTCACACCCAGAGGTCCACCACAGATGTTACAGCTTCAGCAAGAGTGATGCAGAATTGTACAAAATCAAAATCATTGCTTTTTATTTGATAGGTTAACCGGGATAATCACAATGGGTTTATCTAGTTTCTAAATATAATCTACTGAAACGCTATTAAAAACAGTAAGTGTGGTATGTACCGGAATGCTACTATTGTTAAACTGCCCTGAACGGCTCTTACCTGACTTCACCACCAATAAAACATCAGTGCTTCATCAGCCCCGTCCTCAGCCAGTGACTGCAGGGGGAGGCAGGTCTGTCAGCCCCCTCGGCTGGGGTATTTCTGCTCCACTCTCGGACTTCAGTCTAAACGAAGGCAGCTTTTGGCAGGTGAATAAGCCCAGACGGCAAAACCTAAACTGCATTAAAAGAGAGTGGGGCTCTTAATTATTGTCAAAATACTTCCAACACTTTCCTATTTTTAAACACAAAATATTTAAACCATGCACTTATCCTCCCCTTTACAAGACCAGTAATAAATGTGTGTTTCTCTCTCAGTTGTCAATCAGAAGTCCAATGTGCAGTATGTAACAGAAGGATACACGGAAACAACGCAGAAGAATCCACAAGACCAAACCATTGCAAGAAGTGACAAACTGTTTGGATGCGGAAAGGAAACGGATGTATAGCGATGGCAAACCTGTACCATGGGCAGAAACACCACTGTTTCCTGATATTCATATTACAACCTTCAAATAGCAATAGGATTTCAAGGAGCAGAAGTACAAGCAGCTACCCTCAATCCAAAAGACCGTTTGGGCTGCTTTTCTTTGAACAGTGGGACAGGGAGATGGGACCAGTGCTCCCAGAAACCTCTTAGCAATGAACACACTGATTTACCCGCGACCCTCAGAGGATTTAATTAACCACCGCCGGAAACAGAGCTCATCGATCCCATCTCAGGTCCTATCAGTAACTGAGGTCCTGGCAAGGGAACATGCAATCAGCCCCAAGGACTGCAGGATATGGAATTATTCACGTAATGCTTCGGCCACCTCCTCTGCAAGCATGGCACTGAGCAAGAAACCTGGGAGGTGCAAACCAGCTGGGACTGGTGTTATTTCATTCTGACAGGGAAACCTGGACATCCAGCTGTATTTCACCAAGAGTGAAGGCACCCTGATGTCCAAGGTGTTAAAAAAAATAACAGTTGTCTCCCTCGCTGGGACTTCTGCCTCTGTTTCTCACCTGTACAATGGCTGCATCGCTTTCTGCAAGGTCGCACGGTCTGCAAGGGGCTCTGGAACCAAAGCTGTGCAGTCTCCCACATGGCAGAAGCTGAGAACATGGAAGTCCGACTTCTCACAAGGGGTCGGCAAAGGCGGAGGGATGCACAGTGCCACGCACGGGGCTCCCTGAATCCAGGGACAAACCCTGGAGGAGAACTGCTGAGACGTTACACCTGCGGAGCCCGGTGATGCCATGGCCGGGAACCATTTCTGTTGCAGAAAGGGAAAACCGAATTCCCCAAAGAAAGGGAATTTACGTCACGACAGAAAGCTCTGTTTCGTATTCCATTTTCCCATGAGAGATGATTATTTCTCACCAAAAA